CTGGGCTGCGGTAGACATAGACTACTGTTCGCTTCCTGTTCCTTATAATCAGAGTGCATGCAACGACCTGGATGCCATCAAAGCATAGTGAGTATGGCAGCTCCCCCTGAACATAGTTGGACTGTATCATCGGGAGAACTCCCCCGCCCTGGCGCCCGTTTGGTCTATTTACCTGGTAGGTCAAGCGGTCATTTAGCAGTGGACAGTTCATAGGCTCCTCTGAGGTTAGCCAAGTTTCAGATATTGCGATGATGTCTATTTTTTGGCATCGATCTGCCAATTCCCCCCACTTGTTTCGAAGGCTACAGGCATTAGTATACCATACCGTTAGGTTACTCCCCTGTAGCTTCGCAGTTTGAAATTTTGCTAATTCCGAAAACCCCTCGGGTGTATCCCCCGAGGGGTTAGGGCGTTTTTTGCCACAGGTATATCGTTATTTGCATCTCTTGTTTGTGTATTAGGCTTCTCACGGGTAAGATTCACCCTTCGTTTCTTTCTCTTATGCATTTCGGGCGAAAGCGATGGCGAGAGAAATACTCTTTTACTATTGGTTGGTCCGGTTTCCTGCGGGTAATGTTTAGCTCTACTATTACAGCGCTCAGCGCCCGCTGACGTTTTAACAATAGGAGACTCCCTTGGTAAAAATGTGCCCGAAGCCGTTCGGTACTGGTCATCTTTTGGTTTTGCCAGTTCATTCTTATTGACTGGGAACTGTTTTTGGCCCGGGGAGCTGCATGCAGTGCTCGCGCACTGCAATTTTTCAATCCTTACAATAGGTCTCGCAGTGCTAGTATGATACGTTTTGGGGAATACATATGGGGACTTCGTTGACATATCTGGCTCAACGAGTGTCCTGTTATCGGACGCAATCCTGATTTTCTCTGCAGCATCTAGCAGTAGGTCTCTCATGGTTGAGCTTGCAAACTCTACCAGCACCGGTCTAGGCCTAGCATTTTCATCATTCCCCTTCCATTTTCCCAAACGAAAGATCCTTTTTGTGCTTTCTTCAGGCATGTCAGCGATCCGTAGCAGTGCTAACAGAAGATGTCCTCTGATGTGCTGGGTTCTGCTGCTCATACTTTGACAAAGTGGTTCCGGTACTCCTTTGATCACTACATTCCTATTCCTTCCCAATGCTACCTCAGTGTTTCTCTCCAGTTTCTCTAATGTGATGGATGCAGAGACAGCCCTATCGTTGAGGTGCCCTAGTTCCTGTGCATGTTGCGCTAAGCCGGCGTGCAACTCCATTATCGCACGGTGCAAATTTAGTTCTGAATCCACCTTGGTTTTACAGGCCATTTCTCGTCTCACTTCGATCCATTCCCCTATCGTTCTGTTCCCGTTTAGTGGAGAAGGAACGAGGCATTGTGGTGAATTATTTGTGGCTTCCTTTGCGACCGAGTGGCTGTTTACATTGGCCTTTGACAACAGGTGTGCACTGGGGAACTTGCGGTGGAACGGATTTCGGAATGGGAGATACTTTCCCCTCCTTTAACCTTTCTGTGCAGTATGAAAAACAGTTAGAACAGACCCATTTCATAAGTTGGTTATCCTTATATAATTGTATGTTTCTTCGTCAATTTACTGCACCTTCGACGATACCACGACTTGCACGCATTGCATCGTATTCCATCTTCAACTGCTTGCCCGCAAGCTATCAGACCACAAGGGTGATTAGTTTTAGGTGCCCTCCGTATGCTCATTTTCAGGTTTTCGTTTTCTATTTCCCTGCAATGTGGCTTCTTTATTCTTAATTCAAATTTAAGTAAATGATAACCCAAATTTTGATGATGTCAGCTATGGTTACAATAATAATACAGCTTGATGGCTTCTATAGAGAATACAAATGTGCGTCACAATAGCTTAGGCGGTTAAAAGTAGTTAGTAAGTAACTATTTCAAATATCCCACTGTAAAGGTTTGAGAATTCGAGACCTTGTACCCCTTGTGACACACTGACGAGTAGTATGCAAAGAAACCGAAAGTGGGCAAATAATACTAAGCAAAACAAGAAACCTTACAAGAAATGTTACAATAATCTAGTGACAATGGGTAGAAAACCGATGAATAACTATAAAATGATCAAAAACCAACGAGTAATATGCAAGGAAAACCCAAAAATAGTCGGATAATACTAAGCAATGCAATAAACGGTACAACAGAATGCTATAACCTAGCGAAAATAGCCTCAACCAGTAAGAATAACAATAGAATAACCGAAAACGACAAACCGCGACCGGTGTAGCGCATTAACCGTTAACGGGTTTTATCTCGGTGGTAGAATCGTTCCTATGTGGACTCCCACAGACTAAGTTTACAGCTGCAGAAGGTGTCACATTCGGAATGGCTGTTTCGGTGTCGGAATAGTCCAACAAAGATGATGATTCATTTGTTGAGGACCCGGATATTTGAGCATTAGGGCTAGGTGAAGCCTTTGGAGTGGAAGGTTTTACCCTTGCGATCAGTCGCCTGGCGCTGTCTGGTGAGGGTATTGGCACAGAAGCTACGCTCTTTCAGGTCAGCTCAGGTTGCACAGGACTGGTAGTGGTCACGGGCCAAGCGACCGTCTAGAATTCCCTCAGTGGTGTGCTCACGAGAGTATCTGAGCTACATGGGGTGAAAAACTGGTTGGCCGCGTTCGTGGAGAATAAGTGTAAAGAAGGAAAAAGTCCGCTCAAATGTGACGGGTGTTTGGGGGTAAAGGTTCACTGTGGCAATACGGTTGGGGTATGGGACATGGAAGACACCTGATGCTACTCGCTAAATTCGTTTGAGGGAGTAACGACCATCCAAAAGCCCAGAGAACGCAATTTAGGCTCCGCATTCTAATGGAGGTCTTACATAAGTGCCAAAGAAGTTTTGAAGTCTTCTTTATCAAAGCGAGGAAAGAAGCTCTTGATAACGTTGAGTACCCCAAAAACCTTTTTCGTGCGTTTTGGTGGTATGCAAAAAAAGATAGAGTCAGATAACCAGAACGGACCCCGCGTGGTTCGAAATTGTGTCGTGGTTGATAAGTATGTCTTTTTTGTGTTCAAATTAGTGTTCATAGTAGTTCTTCTATCATAAATGTTATTATATTAGTATCGTTTTCATAGGATATCATTGTGTTATAAAATTGATAACCGTAGGATTATTAGGCTGCATAGTTTTTCTCACATCGTAGCTATTCCCGCCTCATAGTATTTAGCCAAATGGTTGCTAAGAGCAATAAAACTAGAGAGAGGGTTAACATCTGTAATCCTAGACCAAAACAGTTCCCATGTGGGATCCAAGGTTGCAATCAGGAAGTGCTCGACGGCATTTGTTGCGATGTTTGCAGCAGTTGGTACCACTNTACCACTAGAAGTGTAGAACCCTAGCTAAAAGGGCAAACGGGCTCTGTACCGAGCACAAATTCCTGAAGTGGGTATGTCCTGCCTGTGTTAGGACGTGTAGAGAGACCACATCATTGGAGGGGACCCAACGGATAGCTTCTGGGTCATTGTAGTCGGCCGCGAAAACTGCCATAGTGATAAGACGCAGGAGCTACAATGCAGCTGATAAAGAAGTATCACATAGTAGAGAAGCTTTGAATAAGCTTCAGAAAGATATCAAAGTCTAAGCAAAAAAATAATAATAATAATGTATATATCACGAAGCCCGTGAGGCATGCATAGGGCATGATCATATGTTCAAAGTAATCATATGTACAACGACAGTACAGGCATATAGATAGTTCACTTGGAAGACGTACATACTGGAGATGGTAGGGGAGCAGAAAGAAAACGCTGTGTAAGCGGAACACAAAGCGGACGAGGTCACAAACGTGGGTGAGGAGGATGGAAGAATGTGCCGTATAAGTATATCAATCGAAATCGAAGTAACTGTTAACCCGTTATCGAGGGGATTCGGCGTGCGGCTCTAATGGGAGAAGATACGGAGAGACAGAATGTAGGACAATAGACGGAGAAAATGGAGTCACAAGGATAAGGATAAATAGAAAGGAGTACAGCGAGTTCATACGTTAGCTGAAATGCCGACGCATGCAGACAAAACGGTGGAAACAGCCGTGCCCAACAACCACTGCCGGGGGCGAAGTTTCCATTGTGGTTTAGACCCCAAGCCTTCGACAGGCCCAAGCCAACCGTATCTGGAACAAAAGAGTCATTTTGAACAGTCTGGGGAAATACCCAGCTGAGAAGGGATAAGGGAAGAGACAGCATGTCACAAATCAATGGGCAAAGTGGAATAATAGGGGTAGTATATGCCTGTATGTATACATATCTATGTACAGCTAAGTATGAACACGTTAATACGGATATATAACCGATAAGCATGCAGCGAATAGACCGCGAAGTTTGGCCAAATCACTCGGGCGACAAGGAAGTAAGGAATAGTTCTGGTAATGAATAAGTGGTCACAATACTTCTAAGAGTATGCACCAAGATGGAATGTGTTCCACAGAGACAGCTTTGAAGCTGAATCGGTGTACTGATAGAGGTTCGGTTTAGAAAGTTGACAGTGCAAACAGGTTTTGCAAGTGCCACGAAGTTTAGCCAAATAATTCGAGCGACAAGCAACGACAAAGAAAGGGAAACTGATGAAACTACAACGAGAGTTGAGTCAGTTAACCAAAAATATGTTAAGAATGAAGGCCAGCATTAGAATTGCACTCGGCAGACACAAGAAGGTCGTCATAAAAGGCATCATAGAAACCTTTTGCGTCGTCGGACGCAAGAGGGAACGAGAAGTAAAGCGCAGCGTCATTAGTCTCCTGCGAATGACAGGCGTGCCAAGGCACGTTCTCTTGAAGAGATTGTTCCGGTTGGGTAGGTGGACTGGCAAGCGGCAAGGCGGTACCAAAGACATTGCCAGGCCGGTTCTAATGGAGTTCGGGAACCCTAGGTGTAGGGAAAATATCGTGGCAGCCACTGGTGCAGTGAAAACGGCAACGGCAGACAGTCTCGGTAGAGCCGGGTCTCCATGCCACAGGGAAGAGAAAACGCCTGAATATCAGCAGCGAGACACAGCTGAGGTAAATACAAACCGTTGGATCACCAAGGATCATTGTCAATCAAATAAACTCTACACTCATGCCACCCAGGGCTGGTAGTCTTGGTGGGACATATGCAAATGTAGTCAGATGCAGACTGGCAGAAATAGTTAGCCCCGTCTTGACGAGAACCACATCAATCCCAGTGTTGAGGGCAAATGTAACAAAAACTGAGAAAGAACTCGGATGTAGCACCCAAATACAAGGTCAACCAGGTTAAAGAGACAGAGAGGCCAAAGGTGAACGAGGGACTGCAACTGTTGTACATGAATGCTTGCAGCATTGGGGACAAATGAGGAGAGCTCAGGGTTGAGTCAAGAGGCTTCGACTGTATAGCTGTGACGGAAAGCTGGCTGTACCAGAATACAAAGGTAGAAACCGCCAGGATACTGCATCTACAGGGCAGATCGAAGTGACGGGCTGATTAGCATAGGAGAAATGGTGCTGGTAGCCAACGATCATAAACAAGAGACTGGGGGGCAGTTAGTGACGCCCCCATTAGAACATCTCACCATCCTTCCGGCTACTAGACCTGTATCTTGGCCTAATTCCTGAACGGTAAGATCTCCGCGGCCGGTGGGGTTTATTCAACTCCGTATGTTTTCCTAACTTTCTGATCTGTTGCACTGCATGCAGATACTGCCCCATCTCCCCTGCCCTTTCACCATTTCAGGTTACCTTGTACAAACAGAACGCGGACACATCTAATCATCCAACATGCGCTGCAGTGAAGCCTTGTCCGGATCCGGCCCATCGGGACGCAGGACCGGTAGAAACTTTGGAAACCACCAGGATCCGGGACCACTGGGCTTAGCCTCGCACCCATGTAATACTTCAAGACTTCAAGACTATGTTAAATTTAAGTTATGGTTCCAGGTAGTCAGTCAAATTCGTCGTCGGGAAATATACCTGACCATGTCTCGTCCAGCTGAAGCTTAAAAGCCCATAGGCTACGAGCAGAAACCACTTGCTGTGGTACCCGTTTCACAGCATTAATCACCTGATGCGAAAAGAACTGGGCTCTAATACTCCTTGTTGTCCTTGGCTTTTCCAATTTGCATCCGTAGCACCTGGATTTGGTGTTGTGGCATGGATGTAGCAGCGGTGTTTCCGTAACCGAGGCACCGGTCAGCTGCCTCAAGGCCTCTATGAGGTCCCCCTTCATTCCCCTTTCTTCAGGGAGAACAGTTGTAACCTCCTGAGCTTCTCGCTGTATGCCACGCTACTCATGCCTTCTGTTACGGGAACGATAACAGATATAACGTACGACGAAATTTGAATTGCGCTTAAGGAATCTGTGAATAATACACAGCTAACTGCAGAAAAACAACGCGTAAGGTAGGACAAATGAGCTAAGTCTAACGACGGCAGCTAGCAGTAAACAGCGATCCTGTGAATCTAGACTAAACGCACGGTCTGTGCAGAAAAAACGGATTTGGGCAGCAGTAATAATATTGAAGGTGGTTTCATAAATAATTAAGTATAAAATATATATAAAATGGGTACTCACGACGAGATTGACACGACGTCAATTTAACTAGCACGTCAAGGTCAGAATATAAAATCAACAATTATAAAGGGCGGTAATTCAGTTAAACAGAAATAGAAAAAGAGAGAAAGCATATAAATTTTAGGTCTCGTATAGAGCGTAACGATTTGGGCTATGGTGTAGCGCAAAAATGGATAAATGTTAAAGTTTGAGTAATAAAGGATTAATAATAATAAGTGTATATTTCACGGAGCCCCGTGAGGTATGCAAATCTTTTACACCTCCTATGACCCCCGTGAATCTTCTTTGTACCGCCTCCAGGACCTTGACGTCTTTCACCAAATAAGGCACTCAGGTCTGAACGCAGTACTCTGAATGTGGCTCCACAAGGACCTTGCACAGTGGAACCATCACATTTTCCTCTCGAGAGGCTACAGCCCTCTGAAGTTGATGGAATGCCCTATTACCTTTGATCGCAGCTGCCAAACACTGAGACGTCGGTTTGAAGGTCTGGTCTATGACGATACACAAGCTCCTAATGTCCTCGCTACTCATTAGAGGTGGATGGTTTTCCGTTGTCGCACTTCACCCATGGTTATTTGTACCGACTGACATCAACTGTTGGCACTTGCTTAGGTTCAGCGGGAGTTCCCATTGAACTGTCCACTCCTGGATCTTGTTCAGATCCTGTTGCAATTGTGGCACATCTGACGTCGTCAGCAAACAAGTAGAGCGGTGGGTGCAGAAGACGGATCATGTCATTGATGTATACGAGGAACAGCATAGGACCAAGCACCGAACCTTGGGGGACCCCACTGCAAGCTTCAGCAGACCCTGATATCCCGTCGTCTACTTTCACGAGAAAAGTCCTGTTGTGCAGGTAGGCTCTCAACTAATTTACTACCTCAGAAACAACGCTGAGACACTCCAACCTGTGTAGCTGGAAGCGATGGTTTACCGAGTCCAAAGCTTTCCTGAAATCAAGGTGGAATACCTCGACTCGCTCTCCCCTATCAAGTCGGCTCGTGACCTCATCCAGGTATGACAGCACGTAGGTCAAGCAGGATATAATTTTAACGAAGCCATGCTGCTTATCATCTAATAATCTATTTCTCGTAAGGTATTCGGCCAGTTTGTTCCTAATAGCCCTATGGAACACCTTTAATGCAACCGA